TTTGAAGGCTCCTGTTCAAAACCCTGATGTCAGACCCGCCTGGGTGGTGGTTTGTCTCTCTCCTGGTTGCTGAAGGAGTTTCTGAATTTTTTGGCTGTCGCCACGCTCCTTTAACTCCCCTGCAGCTCTGCTGGCTTTGCCTTACCAATGGCTTTTGTGGGGCTTTCAATGCCATTTCCTCTTATCCCGCCCAAGCCACTTTCTCCACATGGGTTCAAAGATCTGGAAGTGGCTCACAAGTTGGTTTGGGTTATTTTCCACTGTGCAGGGCTGCAGTGGTGCAGTTCCCTATGCTTTGAACCACCCCATGGGGCTGACAGCTGAAAGTGTTTATGGTCTGAAACCCCAGAGCAGGTCCTTTTCCATGAAAAGAAGTCTTTGGAGCCTTAAGAGGTATATTTCTGCTTGTACCCTTGGGATTCTTCCATCAGGCAATGGCAGAAGGAGCCTGTGCTGAGCGATCAGCAAACACCAGCAGCTGTAGATCCCCATCGTGCGGCAGGAGCCACATCCCTTGAGGTTACCAAACCAGCAGTGATAGCATTGGGATGCAGGTCTATCACCTGTCTCATCTGTCAGTGGTGACTTAATAACCTGGCACCTGGAATCCTCTCACTTACATGAGTAAGAGGGAGGAATGATTGATTTAAAACCTCCTTTCTCCAAGTAGGTGCCGATTTTGTGTTGCCAGATAATATTACTGGTGCCTTCTGACCTTAAGAGAGAGTAATCTAAGTTAAATATCAGGCATTTGGATCTTGGCGAAGTTCAGATTGCCAAAATGAAGAAATACAAATAGCTGGGAAGGCGACGCTGCGCCTTCCCTGGATGGCTGAACAAGTGCCATTAGCGCTTGAGTGTATTCCCAACTAGATATAAAAGGAATCGGGAGTGTTAAGGAAAAACAGAGTAAAGTGAATGCCTCTTACAGCTGTCGCAATGGGAAAGTTGCAACATTTGCTTGTAGGAAAAGATGCAGAAGCACACAGAGTACCTGTTAGCGCGAGCGGAGCCAGACTTGGGCAGCATTTCAAGTGTTACAGACACAATCCTGAAGGCTATATGCAGAGCAGCATGACTTTTCCATGATGCTGGTTAAGAAGACGTGCCTTTGCAAATTTTTTTTTTTTTTTAAGGCTGCCTAAGTTTTCTTGGGCCTTTATAGAGCAGATGTAGCTTAGGAGTGTTGAGTGCGCTGGGGGACTGAGCTGAGGGAATGGCATCCTTGGCTGTGTTATAAACACGGCTTGTCCCTTGGCTCCCCTCGCTGCAGATCAGGTTTCTAGCTGAGAAATGAAGTTCTCTGAGGGGAACAAAAATCCGTCCTTGGTCCCTTTGTTCTGCTTTCCCATGGCAGACTGTGCTGACTTGTAGTGTTCCCTCTTTTGTCTATAAAGTTATGAGCTCTCTGGCTCAGACTTGCTTACTCCTATAAACAGGGGTTGTGACAGAGCCATTATGGGCAAAAGCAGAGCAGTTCATTCCACCAGAGATTCTGGAGTTTGGGGAAAAATATTTGTCCAGATAGATGTTAGAAAATTAAAGATCTCATGCAGGAGGATTGTCAAAGGGAACTTTTTCTGGAATAAAAAAGGAAAGGTTTTTCTTCTTGTTATTATTTAATATTTTCATGAAATGGAACAGAAGGTTGACCTGAGTCTCCAGGACTTTCCAGGCTGCCAGGCAAGGGCCTGGGTCATTCCTCTTTCTGTGGGGCAGCAAAGCCCCATGGAACTCCCAAGGGAAATGAATATTTCCCAGCACCCATGGTGCTGCTTTAACAAATGATTCCTCTGTCATGAGCAACCCTTTCACAGGAAAATTTATCCTCAGGCTCAGCTGGGATGATTATACAGCTTCTGAGGGTATTAACAAATAGTGTTGGTTCTGGCTTTGTCTTAAGAAGGTTTCTATCACAATTAATTTTTGCCTACTCTCCATCCTTTCTTGTTTCTTGGAACATAGAGACATTGCTATAAATATCTGTGAGTTTAAATATGGATTTCTACATTCACATATAGACCCAAGTGCACAAATGGACATTTTATCATATCATACCATGCTGCATCATATCTTTTAATACAATATTGTGTGTCTGCAGTGAGAAGACACATTTTTCTGTCCTGGTTAGTCAAAATGAAGCATCAAAGGTTAATTTCTTTCTGTCTGAAATCTGCATGAAGCAAGTTAGACACGACTTTACTGTGCCACAATAAACTTTGCATAGTATACCTTGTATAAAGGTAAAATACATTTTCCATGACTTAAACCTTTGTGGATCGGTGCTATGCTAAGGGCAATTAGATTTAACATCCCTGGAAGCTCCAAAGGCATTTTAAAGGACTCGCTCTTTTGTTCCAACTCTAGCACTCAAAAAGACTGAGACATTTTTGGAATAGGTTTTGATGGACTTATATGAAAATTTATATGACTAAGAATTGGATTTGTTCCTCTGGAATATTATGGATTATTTTTATATGGGAATTACATAAGTGTGCAGAGCTGCATGCAGTTGGCTTAATGTAGCTAAAAATATATATTCTGATTTCCATTTGGAAAGGTAGCTGGATTTTTCCAGCTTCCCCTCTCAGTGATGACTTTATGGTGTGTACGGGTTATAGATTACAGGAAAAATTGAAATGCATAGTAAAATCAAGGGTTTTAAAATGGATTAATATTTGATTATATCTTGGAGAAGATGAATACTGATGTGTGTCCTTCTCCACTCCTGATTTTGAACTGTGGTGAAATCCCTTACAAATAAAAATGTATCTGAGAGACCACCTGGATGCAAACAAGGACAGGAGTGGGCAGCACATGAGGAAGCAGAAATCTTTGAGGCCTGGGACAAAGGCTCATCCTGCTTTCATCCCATGGCTCATTTGCCTCTGGTGCAGCAGAAATCACAAGGATTACCCTGACAAGAGAAAACTTCACAGAGCAATCAGAGATCACAAATGAGGGACAACTGCTCTGTTACATGACTCAAAGATACTCCATCTCCACCTGCCTCTTCATCCTCTCTCTCTCTTTTTCTCTCTCTCCATATATATACAGAAGAATTTATTTGACAGAGTAGTATCCAAAAAATGCTTCTTGGAGAAAGATTTTTTCCATCTGTATTTTTGATGAAAAGCCTTATGAAGGAGAGGCTGAACTCTCCTGCTCCAGAAGAGAACACATTAGAAAACCTGATCCTTTTATTTTAAACTATTGGCTGTTCCACTTAACACCAAAGTTTGGTGAATTTTGCTTCAACTTTCATGTGGAGAAACACCAGGTTACAATACCCCAAAAGATTTTAGGAAGTGGAATTGTGGTTCTGTGGGCAGCTTTGCTGTTCCATTAGAAGGGTTTGTGTGATGACTCTATCAAGTGATACAGCACAGTGACTCTCTGAAGGGAAGAATGATGCAAATATACTGCAAGAGAGATGAACAAAAGGTGTTCTTCTAAATTATCTGCACATTTGTGGCTCACCTAGAACAAATACAGTATAAAATTGCAGAGCTGACAGGACAATTCCATCAGGTTTTTAAATGTTGTGTGAGATGGAACATGTTTTATGGCATAAAACCCAAATTCTGCTTTTGTTTTTTTTCTTCTGTATGTTTTCTAAAATGGACATGTCACTTTGGCTGTATAATCTTATCATATTTAGATTTGATTTAAGTCCTGTCTTTTCTCAGCTGTGCTTGCTAATGGAATCATTCATGCTTTTTATACAGTTGATCTAATAATATTTTCCACACTGCTCTCTGGCATTATTTTTTACTTTGTAGGAAGCATGGCAAAACTGGCAGTGTAAATTGAGTCTGCATTTTAATGACATTGATGGTGATTTTTTCATGCATTTGGATAAGGTTGGGATTTTTTTCCTCTCTTTGTACCATGGTCATTCCAATATACTGTGGTGTGGGTATGTGAATGATTGATTTGCAGGATTCTCTAATAAGGAAGAAGACTTTTCCAATATTACTTTGCTGCTTAAGCTGCTCTGTTCATGCAGGCCATCAACAGAATGTCCATGAGATATCTTCATTCTTCTCTCTTTATTTTATAAGCAGTGTACTCCAGTAAGCTATGAACTTCCCTGTTGGAAGTCCTTGGTCCCTCTTCAACGCAACTAAAATGGTGTATCCCACTGGAAAGCACTAGGAGATGGTAAGTCAGTGACTTTCAGCATTTTCTGATAGGAAGATTCCTCAGATTTCAAATGAGGATTGGTGAACAAACACTTCTTATTTAGCAACAATATATTTTTTTTCTGGATGCACTTAAGAAAGAACAAATTATTGACTGTAGCAATGACTGTCTCAACTATATTTTATACTTGCACAACCCCCACAATGACTTTAGTGATGGTGGGGGAAGAGGTACAAATGTGGCCCTTCAGAGAGGTTTTTCTTCTTGTTTTACAGAGGGTCCAAGTTGCCAAGTGCTACCTCAGGAGAGCGAAGCCCTTTAGAGAGGCAGCAGATGCAGTTCAGCATTGCTCATTCTGTTGTGCTTCAACTCTGACCACGGAAGCGCGAGCTCTTGGGACAGAAAGTGCTCTGTTTACACTCAGACCTTGGCATTTTTCCTAAGGGTACCAATTATAATGGTGTTTTTTGTGATATGGGCACACATCCATTATGAATTGGCTTGCACCCACCAACTCATTTTGTACAGGCCATGGAACATCCATCAGATGGCAACGATTCCCATTCGTGTGCAATGTTAAGGAAATCTAGATCATTACCAGCAGAATAATGAATTCCCTAAAATTGTTCCATTGTGCAATTATATGAAGTATGCTAAGAGAAAGGGCAGTTTCTCAATAAAGTACTCCTTTTTATTTTCCTAAACCACAGGAATGATAGATTATTAATCATGATTAATGCTCAGTTACAGTGAATTATAGTGGAGCAGTGCCTGGAAATCCCAGTCTGCTTGGTAAACTCATTTTCTTGCATAATAGGAAACTTACCTTGCATTTAAGAGAGCCCAAACAGATGAAAGCAATGGAACCACCCATTTCATATAATTAAAAGAAAAATTTAATAGATACATACATTATTAGTCTGACACTCTTAAACTTTTTTTGATACTGTACAAGCATAATAGAAGAAATACAATTGCAAACATCTTAATTGTTCCCATATTTTACTTTCTTCCTGAGAACCAAAATCTTCTAGAGCTCAGCTCTAGCACTCAGCCTGAATCCCTAAGCAGCACTGGAGTTAAGGCAGAGCTGTGCATTTTCTGGACATTTGGAAGAAGTTGGTTGTTCTAGTTGATGATTGCTTGATAGAATACGAATGATCAAAGTGCTTTAGGAAGCAGAGGGAAGTCAAATAAAGTAATGTAATATATTTCATTCCTGTATTTGGGGATGTACATGAGATAATTTTTGCCAGGCCCACATCTAGGGGACTCACTGTACATGGAGAGTAAGGCACCAGAATGACATTATGGAAGGGCTCATGGTCAGTCAGAGAACTTAATATCCTTTGAGATAACTGAACATTAAACCTTTGGAAGCCTCCAGAGGCTTATCCAATATTTAGCAAACATCAATTCCCCTAAAGTTTACATCCTAACCTGTACTGTGTTCTAACGGAGTGAAAAGAGGTGAAAAGACATTTTTGTCTCAAGGATGAGACTGCTGGGTCATTTCCAAGAGGAGATCCTTAGAGAGCATCCCATGGTCCTTTCCTGTGGAAGGTAGCAATGCAGCTCTCCGTTATTCTCTCTGTCTCTCTCTTCCCCCAAGCAATCTGTCAGTGCATTTCTGGCGCCGGGGAGAGGCGTCGTGTCGGAGCGCTGTTCCCGTTTGCAAAACGGGAACTTCTATTTGTTGTTCTCAGGAGCTGGTTTCACGCGCTGACATCTCCCCGGGAGCACAGCTGAGTCCAACATGTTCCCAACAGCCATCCACCCAAACGCCTCCTACTCCAGCACCCAGACCTTCCTTCCCAGTAAATAAAAAATACAGAGACAGCCTTGAATTGTTCCAAATGCTTCGGCTTCACTGGAATGTCTGCCCATGTTCAGATCTGATAAATGGGTATTTTTCTGCACCAGGAAGTCAGTTTAGTGTGGGAATAGGGTGGCTTTTCAAAGAGTTTCTGGAATAGTTAGTGGAAAAGTCTGACTGACTTTCTCTGGTGTCAATATGTTTAAGTGTTCCTACGTGTCATGAAAGTACAGTGTTGCAATTACCAACTTTAAGACAGAAAACAAAGTTATCATAAGCTGCTCATTCTACTGTGTTGTATAAAATAACATGTTTTTCAAGGTTTCATTGATCAAAAATGTCTCAAAAAATCTACTTCCTAAAGCAGGAAACTGAGCAGTGTGCCCTTGTACACTTCAGGCAAGGAGATATTTCTGCATTATTTAAAACACCACCACCAGCAGCTCTCAATATATCCCAGTGTGATTCCATTCATATTGCTGGGACATCCTTTCTAATCATGGTTGTAGTAATTCTGTCTTTGACCTTACCTGTGCCCTGTAGTAGACATGACCTCAGTATGCCAACCTATGGATTATAACACAAAAAAAATCTTTTGAATAATGATTCCCAGGAAAAGAGTTAGAAAAAAATCCACATTTGTGCCAAAAGCCCCCAGTTCCACAGCTGAATGAGACTTCAGTTGCCATGAGTTATTCTGGTATGGTCAATGTTTTTTCTTGCAGACTCAGAACTGGAACAAGACATCCTGGTTTGAAAGGCAAAGTCCTCATCTCTAATTCCCTCACTGACAACATTTTGGGGTATGCCACCCTCTGGTTTCCCCTCTTGGGCTCCATCCAGACACTGCACATGAAATCTTGCATTTTGGAGACTGACATCAAGAGCAAGGACTGCCAATGTACATTTTTATTGGTGCTTCTCTAGGAACTGGTATGTGGAACAAGCTTCCCTCTTCTCTGATTCCTAAATGCCTTGGGTCAGAATTTTTATTCATAAATACCCACGTGCCACTTTGTCAAGGACAACTGTGGTAGAAAGGATAGAATGATCCAAACCACTGTGGCCTGGTATGTAGAAGTGAGAGTTTAGCTTAGCTTTGGAAGATTTGTTCTACTTCTGGATTTCTGATTTTTTTTGAACACATGAGTTTTCTAGAAGGGAGATAAGGAAAGGATATACCCATGATTTTTTCCCCCCATTAAATGTTTGTGCACCAGGACTACTCTGATTAATAAACAAGAGGCTTCAATGATTTTAGAAATGCTTAATATTCCAGCATCTTGCCCAGAATCCTTGTTTGGGATTCCAGAGGCACTTCTGCACTGACATGAGTAGGGGTTTTGAGAGAAATTTTAGTGTTTATACAAAGTAAATACTGACTTTGGTGTTAGTCTATAAATACCTAATGTGAGCAAGCAATTCTGTATTTTCCTCTGTGCTTAATACCTGTGCTCTGCACCCCCAGGCAGCTGAATTTACATGCTTTTGTTGTCATATGTGTAATGTGCAACATATATTTCCTTTTTGTTAACCAGACCTGCCATGAGAAAAGAGATAGGGGGAATTTGAAAGCACAACCAGGATAGATACTGTCATTTTGTAATCTTTTGTGCACAGGTAGAGATGCCTGTTTGTTCTAGAATAGGTGGCAATATTCTGTTTCTTGCAAAAGTCTTACAAATGAAAATCAAGCAAAGGAGTTACTGGCTATCTATGGGATAATTCTCCTCTGGAAATATGCAGTCAATTCCCATTTAGGTTAATTACACTTAAGAAGCCCTTTCCTATAACTAATGAACAATAGGCATAACCTGTTATTACATAACCATGGGCCAGCACATTAATACACTGTTGAATTGCAGTACACTGTGAAAATGCTTCCTCCACAAAATTCACTGGAGATTTTCAGTGACATTCGCTGTAATTACCAGTAGCATTGTTTCTAATTCATTAATTTTTTCTACCTATACTGGGCATATAAGAGTGTTTTAAGAGATTGAATAAATAAATTTTTAATTATAAAATGATACTATATCATAAATTATTTATAATAACCAACAATGTGTAACACATGTTTAGGTATGAATCCATCAGGAAGATGAACTAATATATATATCAGTCCTAAAATAACGTCCTAATTTGTTCTGTGCTTATGAATGGCGAAATCAGTGTTTAAAGCAATTAAAGGTTTATAAAAGCTTGGATTGACAGTGGGTAAAGCAGCGAGCATACTTGGCACTTAGGAATTCTGTTGTCATCTATGGCAGAGAAGACCCCTTTTTGTCCTTTATTGGTTTCAGCAGTTTGTGATATCATGCCACCAGAGCAGTACAGATATAGAGACCTCCAGGGAGGCAGCAACAAGATGCACATAGTCCTCATTGACAAAACCTCCGGTTATGATTAATATTTAAAAAAAAAATCTCCTTTGCAATCTGTGGGGTAGTTTTGAGGGATTTTGTCAATTATTTTCCTATCAGCGATAGCAGACTTCTGAAATCTCCATGGCGAGCTCCAGGCACTCCCCAGTCTCGTGGCAGGACTCAAAGAGGCTGCAATCAATGTCACAGTCACAGTTGCAGTCGTTGTTGCCGTGGTCTTCGTCGGAGGTCTGGTAATATCTATTGGATGGACAACAGGTATCTGTCAGCCAATGTTCACAGGTATCAGGCAGCATTATAAGAAAGTCCCAAAACTGGCAGAACAAGCAGGCCAGGATAAGTGTTGCGCATTCATCTAAGAGAAAGGAAAAGCAGGGAGACGTAAGAACAAGTGTGAGCTGGGATTACCCAGTTTAGGCCAGTGTGGCTACACAGAGGTGAGGGGCTGGGCTAAAAGTACATTGATGATAACAACTTCCATAGAGACAAGTGTAAAGTTTATTTTCTATTTTAATTGCTCTGGGAAAACAACAGCTGTATGAAAAGAATTTGAATGGAGACATTCTGTGGCAGTGAAATCCAGAAGAACAAGCCCTTTAAACCAAATTTTATCTTCTCATGCCTGGACAGCAAGGAGGCTGAAGAGGCATGAGAAGCTGGGAGGGGACACAGCCAGGACAGCTGACCCCATCTGGCTAGAAGGATAGTCCAGACCATATGGCACCAATATAATTTAGGCAGAAAACAAGCAGGGGTTTCTGCTCAGATAACTAACTGGGCATCAGCTGGTGAGTGGTGAGCAATTGTAATTTGTATCCCCTGTTTTGTATATTCTATTATTATTATTATTATCATTATTTTCTACCTCCCATGTAAAACCACTACATTGTCCTATTACACTGTATTTATCTCATCCCGTGAGTTTACTTCTTTATTTTCATTTTCACAAGAGTTTGCACTAAAAATGTTTAAAGGCTACCAAGGACAGAGAGGGAGAGCAGATCTGGAGAAGAACATTCAGAGAGGGCAGTGTGTCTCAGCTCCTCCCAGCTCCTCACCAAACAGGGTTCTCACCTTTTTGTTCACAAATGTCAATTTTTCAAAGGAGACAAAAGTCTGGAAAATAGATTATGTAGGATGTGTGTCTGGAGCCAGTAAATATTCCTGAAACTTTCTCACCATGACTAAAACTCTGTGCTATGTTTGTGCCCTCCCAAAATCAACTAATTAACTCCTCACCCCTCAGCCTCCAGCATCTGGGGAGACTTCTTGGGTGCAGCAGGTGTGAGATTCCAACTGTGTGAATCCACTTGGAGCACAAACCCAGACCTTTCCTTTTTTTTTTTCCTTTTTGTTTTTGGAAAGGAAAAATGCCTTCAACAATATGAATGTCTTTTCATTGGTTCTTTCAGGAAAGCATATGGTTATAACCACATTTCTTGCCCTAGGATGACTAACTGTGAACTCATTCAACTGCATTGGTTCTGTTGTGGCATTTTCTAGCTCACGTAACATGAAGTTCACTGCCAGGAAGTTTCCAGAATTATGCTTTTTTTTTTTTAGAAAGCTTTCTTGATGAAAAAACAAAATTTAAAACAACATTCCAGCTTCTTTATTAAAAAGGCAAGGTAGCAAGAACAAATAGCATATGACTGAACTTATTTCTAAATGGAATATCATCACCAATGTTATCAATTTTAATACTTATTTAAATATGTCAAGAGCTATTTAGGTTCAGACAAGCACAACTAACTTCTAAGTCAGTCCTGTCAAATAAGAATGACTAGATTTTGGTGATACTCAGTAAGTTCATGCTTATATTTTTTCCTAGCTAAATGAACTGAAATAATTATAAAATTGAAACAGTTAATAAGGTGACACCACTGTATTTAATTGTATGAAATTTACACTGTAGAAAATGTAATCATTTTATCCAGTAGTTCTTGGTGTAATTAAGATTATTTTTTTTAGATCACTTATGTTTATGAAATTTCTTTCCTATACATAGATGTGAGAGACAGAATTCAAAGTTATGTCTCAATTAAGGATTTAGCAATTTTTTTCTCCCTCTCCAAAGATCCATTTTTTAATAACAGGTTTTTTTCCCTGAATGTGTTACCATAATGATGCTTATGTAATCTGGAGAGAATAGATACGATTCTTAGGACTTCATCCAGGAAGGAGAGCACACAAAAAGCACAAGATTTTAATAATAAAGTAATGTTTCAGCACAGACTCTGTGATGTGCAGTAAAGATGCTTTTAAATTCCCATCAGAGCACACACCATGAACTGTGATAATGGATGTAACACATTTCAAAAAATCTGCATGTGTGAGGCTTTTTGGTCCTGTTTTAAGTGGGGTAATGTATATAAATAATAGATATTAGCAATTAGACATCCATTCCTATGCATTCATTTATATATTTGAAAATAAATTAGCCACAAACTGCATAGAAGAAGATGCAATCTCTTGTTTTCCCCTCTGTTTTCCCTGCTGTTTGCCAAACGGCATTACTGTATTTATCTCAGTGAGAACAATGACCTCAGCTCTCATTCTCTGCATTACTTGATTAATTAGCACAAAAGAAGAATTTATAATAATTTTTCTAGCATGCCTCATCTCTAAGTTTTCCTGCTCTTGTTTGGTGGCATCTGCTCACACAGATGATGCTCTGAACAACCCTGGTCCAAAGCTTGTTGAAGCCTTTCTGGTCATCCTTGGTGAGACCTATGAGTGTTGTATTTGCTCTTGTCTGAGTCCTGGGTACAAAATAATCACCAATTTCCTCATCTATTCCTCTGCTTTCAGAGGTTCTCCAAGCACCAGCAAACAGTATTTGGCCTTGTGTATGTGGAATAAGCAGTGAGTTGTCAGAGTGGAGTGAGCTGAGTACGCAATGACAACCACAAATCTGTCTTCCTTTGGTTTTCTTGGCTTCTATCCAGACCTTAACATTATTAATTAAGCACAGATTGGGGTTTTTTTGTTGTTGTTGTTAATTTCCTTCACGTTTAGCTTTTTTAAGGAGGATGAAATCTGTTATTTGCATCACATGGTACACACCTGTGTGCCAGTAGTGGTTGAGCTAGACCTCAGACTCAAAAATAGGGAGTGTCTGGACAAGAGGCCAAGTCCCCTAAATAAAGTAAATACTTCAGAACCTTCTCTGAAATTAAGCATATTCCAATAGATGTATCATAGACATCCCTTTTGTAAGGATCTGTGACACAATAGAGATGTTAATGATTCTTGGAGAACAGGGCACTTTATTGTGTTGATCTGTATTTAGAAATGCTTAATTTAGGAATTGTTAAATGATATGCACGACAGATCCCAGCTCCATTGGATACAACAGACTAATCCATTATTGCAAAAGGCACTCAAAAGAAACTTCTGAAATACTTCACAGAGCCTTTTTTTAACATCCACTGGAATAACCAGGAATAGATTTATCTGATACTGACACTGGTGTCTCTGTGCAAACTCTCATTACTAAAGTACAAATGCTCTGTGGCACAATAAGCTCTAAGCTCCTCTTCTATGACTTTAGTATCACTGACAATTTAAGATCATCTTCTAGAAATTCTCATCTATCACACAAATGTCTGCAGGGCAACTTAACATTGCTTTTGGCGATGTTCTTGAACCTCCTGTTCAACATTTAATTTCGAGTTGGTTATACATAGTTCTTTTGCAGTGGGCATTATTTAGAAATCAGCTCAAATGTGATCTGTTTTATAAAACATACCGTCACTGTCTCTCTGATGTACTGATGCATCATCTTCAATGTAAGTGAATTCTCTGCATTTCTCCAGGGAAGCAATGGATGATCTGCTTGCATCTGACAATTTCTTCTCATTTTTGGTACCCTTTGATGAAGCGTCTGTGATGCTGAATTCTGCGACAGAACTCATAACAATACCTTTCATAGGCTTTTCATCTGTGTGTTTTTCATTTGTAAGCTGGTTATCTGGTGGGATTAGGAAAAAAAAGACTGTGATACCAAGGCAGAGATCTGAGAGAATAACATATGCAGAATTTTCAGACCTACAGTTGTTTACTTCCAAGGCCTAACCCTTCTCACCTAATGATTTCAGTCTCTTTGCAGAGGTTTATTCATAGTAAAAGTATTTGTGAACTTGCCTTCTAAGGCTTTCTCTTAAACCCAGAGGACTTAGAGGCTAAGTAATAATTCACTTCCAGTGGGTGGGATCAGGTTTGGAAAGAAAACAGAACTATTGCCTTGGTTGACATCTATTTAGAGTTTGATATCCTAACTTCAATTTGTGACATAAAAGAAGGCAAAACAATTATCTTGTTATTTATCAGCTGCAACTTCCTTGCCCTAAATTAACAGCCAACAACGCGCACGTAGGCGGTACCTGGATGCAGATGTGCCAGCTCACCGTGGCTCATAATCTTGTAGCAAAGACAGCCAGATGGTCTCTGTTTAGCATCCAGATTCCTCATTTCATAACTTCATCCCCACTTGCATTGTTGGCCTGGAAGTCAACTAGGAGATGGGATACTTCACATGCTGTCAGCGTGCCAGAGAGGCAGCTCAAAAACCAGAGGGAGAGCTTAATTTTAAGCCCCAACTAGGGGAAAGGTTAAGAAGAGTTCTGAGTTCAATTTATTCTCGAAAAACTCCTCAGGCACAGATAAACATGGGTTGATATATAGTTTCACTCGATCTCTGAAGTGATCAAGTGGCCAAGAAACACAGTCATTCTCTCCATGGCAGGGATGATAAAACCTCATCAGTTCTTATCTACAGCTGATTAACTCCTGCACCTCACATCAAGCACAGCCTCACTTTTTATCTCACTTAAATCTTGTGATATGCTTGCTCTTGAGCTGTATACAGAAAATCAATCTTTACAAACACCTCAGTTTTGCAAATGCTACTTTTTGAGAGGAACAGTGAGTGCTCTGAAGTGGTTCATCTGCACTTGCCTGCAAGGAGCCTGAAGAGAGGCCCCTCATGTCTCTTGGTTTTTAGGTACCTTTGACTTCTGACACATGTTAAAGAAAAGCCAAGGAAATGCTGACAGAGAGTGAAACCTTGATGAGACTGCAGCTGTTCCCCCAGTATCCTTGCAGGGAGAGGAGGAAATGTGGATGGGATGGATGGATTGCAGGGTAAGTGAAAAACCAGTGCAACCATAAGGCTTGAAGAGGGGGGAAGCAAGGATTTGAGAGATAAGCGGTATCTTGCTCAAGTCCAGTGAAGGCCACTGAGGCGGTGAGGGGTCTGGAGGACCTTTTGTGTGAGCAGAGGCTGGGGGAGCTGGCTTTGGTTGGCCTGGAGAAGTCAAAGAACAGTTCTGGATGCTTTGTTCCCCTCCAGAGCCAGGAAAACTGAGAAGCCAGACCCCAACTCCTCCCAGCAGGGCGCAGATGGAAAACGAGGAGAGAGCACTGTCAGAAGCTGCAGCAAAGGCAACTGGAACTGCCCAGGGAATGAATTCCTCATCATGGGCTGTGTAAAGCACCAGAACAGACTACAGCAAGGCTGTGGTTGTGTGAAGAGCTCAGCTGGGCATGGACCTCAGCAACCTGCTCTTACTCTGGGTTTTTGACAGAGGCCAAACGAGGTGATTCTAGAGTCCCTTCCAAGCTAATTTTTCTATGATTTATATGACTTCATTTACTTATAGAATGAATGTGCAATTAATTTAAATTTCTAGATGTGTTTCTAGCCATTTTTATAATTTTTTATCTAGTGAAATACGTAGAAGCAGAAAAGTTGGGTAGAAGTTAGTAGAGTAAGATCTTGGGATAAGAGAAGCATAAAAACTAGGCTATCATTTTCATTTTAAATCACTGCTTTAAAATTGTGTGTTGGTAGAGGTATTGTCTTGATTTTGAAGTCATAATGACAACAAAGTCTGTTGTGATGGAAATGTGAATTTCCTTGTCCAGGAGACTTGGCCTTGGGCATGGAACGAAAGATGGGGTGGAGGCAGTAAGAGAGCAGTGGCACAGAGAGGAGTCTCAGAAACCTATAACTGTCAGGTTTTGTGAGCATTATGGTGAAGGAAAGCCACAGGCAAGATGAGAAGGGCAGGAGAGGCAGTGGCACCACTGGGTGTGACCCAGCAATGCAATGCACAGCAGTTCTCCCCTGAGCTTGTATCCTTGGTCATAGGAAATCAGCATCCGAGCCTATGCATGTCTGGGTTTGCCCATCTGTGATGAGTTGTTGATGGTTTTCTCCTCAGAGTAAGCAAATACAGCTTTTTCCTCCCTCCTTTCTGACTTCTTGGCCAGCCTCTTCAGTCCAGAATGTGAAAACTCATGTATTTTGGACGTCCTTTCATGTAGAGTCATGACTGTTTTCCAGTGTCTGTAAATCAATGACATTCCACAGGTTTGCCTGCACTTTATTCAACAACAAACCATCTCCAGGAAAAGTTGTGCTGATTAAAGCAGCAGAGCTCAGGAGGAAGCAATGTCCTGCTTAGGCATTGGATTTATTGGATAACAATTGTTTTGTGAGTCCAAAAGACACAAGCCCTACCTGTTAGCCAGGTGCCAATATCACAAATGGGTCCTGTTTGTTCACCCTGAGAGCTACACCCAGGCTGAGCCTTTGGATACACATGGATCAGATCAAAAGGCTTAGGCAAGAAAAACTATTATTTTCCACTTTCAAAATCTGCCCAAAAATCTAAACTAGATATGTTTTAATTCATGATATATTTGTTGAGTTCCCCAATTCTGCAACAATACAATGGCCCACGGAATGCATTTAAGCATTCAAGAGGCGAGACTGAAAAAAAGTCTGACAGAAGTAATCAGTAAATGCCAGACTGACATTTACTGTATCCACCGACTTCTACTATTCATACTTGGAGTCAATTTTTATTCTTGAAGTGCTGTTGAAGAGAAATCAAAACCAGAAATAGAAAGGCATAGACATAACCTGAATTTTTCAATACAGCACCATCAAACAAAAGGGTAACAAAAGCTGTCACTCAGGGACTCTTCTGTTTGTTAAAGCATACTACATCTTGGAAAATACAGTACATTTTAGTGTCAGACTCTTAGTTTGAAAAGCTCCCTTTCAGTAATGTTATACTTGTCTTGTACAGCTAGATCAAGTCTTCACGCAATCACTGTAACAAGCAACTTGCTATGACAAGCGAGATCCTTGCTTCCAGAAAACACTGCAGGAGAGGCTAAAGCAGTGTACAATTATAGGTCTCCATTTCATTTTTATGCAATTACCTTCAGTTCAGCTGTGGGTCCATCTACATTATGTCTTTTATCAATTTAATGTTTGCACAAAGTGTCTGAAGAAATAAAGATTGTGCTAAACCAGCAGAAATAAAAGGTGGTTAGCACTTTTTTTTTTTTCCTATTATAGTTTTTTGCTGGATGGTACAGTAGTAGGTTGAGAGTTTGGAACAAATAGATGTGGCTAAATAGGCTTTAAAAATATATTACATACCACTGTTACTAATTATGATTACTGTTAATCATGAGAATATAAAAAACCCCAAATTACAGTTAGAGATGGGAAGAGGGTCAAACTTTGCAACTGTCTTTTAAGATCCTGTGTTCAGCTTCAAATGCCCACATATGTCTGTGTTTTTAACGTATAGAAATCAACCACTGAAGTGAACTTAAAGGGAAAAATAAGTGTATCATGATGAAGAAATCTCAGATTATTCAGTGTTAGACTGTTAGGCAGAGGCTGCTAAAGGTACACCCCCACAATGTGCCATTTTTAAGTAGTATGAAGTAGCAACTTTCTTCCTCACATGGGGAAGCTGGGACTCGCCTTGGCTGTTGCAGTAGAACACTGGGATTGTTCACCCATGTTTGTATTAAAGATAGTCTCAATAACTCACATGGAATTTATTTTTTCTCTTTCGTTTTGGAGTTGGGCGATTCAGATGGCTGACTACAAGTGTCTAAATTCATGAAACCACAAAGAAAATCACTTACTTTCCACTGAGGCCAGCCCCAGATCCCTCTGGTTAATAGGGAGGAGCAGTGATACCAAGACTGGCATTTGCAGTATGTCCCCTGACCTCTATTTCTCTTCAGTGGCTTTAGGCACAAGCCAGCATCTTGCAGCCCTGCAGAAGGGGAGTCTGCAGTTTCCCTGCATGCTTCTGAAATTAGATTTACTATAGAGCTATACAAGGGCTCTAAGTCTATTTTTGATAAGGAACAGAGAGTTTAAGAGGTGCTCTGTTCTGCTGAACAGGGAGTGCAGCAATGCAGGTAATCCAAGGAGCTCTCGGAGCAGCTGTTTAGGAGGAGAATCCATTGAAGGAGAAGGAGACTTGATCTCTGACCTTCTGACCTTCCTAGGACTCATCCATATCTTACAAGCAAAGGACGAGGGAGCCTGTGGCTCTGCTCAATGCTGGCATTTATTCCAAACCCATCCTGGCAGTGGCCCTTTGTCTCACGCCCCTGTAGCAAGGAGTCCCAAGGGTTAATGCTAAACTGTGTGGAAAACTGTAGCAGTGTAGGACCTGTAACTTTTTAATTTTCCCCTGAGGCATGTTGGTGTATCAGTGCAGCACTCATTATCCTGTGCCCTGCTGTCGCTACCTGTCTGTTTAATGTAGCACATGCTCATCACTGAAAGAGCTGTGTGCCATGTCCATTCAGTCCCCAGATGACACAGGCAGAGCTGCATCAGACCTGATGGATGAAAACTTGTACGTATGAAGGCTTGGTCTGAACACACTGGTTCTCATAGAATAAAGAAACCCAAACCTCAGGGTGAGACAGCAGCGCTTCAAAAAGGCAAAAAGCCAAAATAAAACAAAACACTTTTTCTTGACCATTTAAGGGATATAATGGTCTGCCAGGGAGGGAGTATCTCTGCATGCATGGGGACAGCAGCTTACCTGGATGGTCCTCACTGCTCGGCGTCACCCCAGGGAGGGCCAGTAGAGGCAGGGAGCTGGTGCGACGGTCTTGGTGGAGAGAAGAAAACAAAATTGAAGAGGGATAAGTGTCAAATGAATGTGGTTTGGCATAGCTATTGACCTCAGCCACTTAGTGAGAGTCATTGACTTCAAGAGTTGTTGGTCTGAGGTCAAACAGAGGCAAATCTGCTTCCTTGCAAAGGGAGGTTACATAGCATGGTGTGCTGTTTGTGTTACCCTCTGTCTTGTTTCAAGAAAAGAAGCAAAAAATATAACAAAATGCCAAGACAGAAAGTTTCACCCAAGAAGAGGTGAAGAGGATCACAGCAAACACAGAAATTCAGGTAGGTACAGAAAATTTGAGAGCTGGGAGGTCTGAGATGAAATGTGGGGCATCGTCCATGCTCAAACACCTCGGAAACCTTAAATGAGGATCCCAGATCTTGAGTAAAGGAGGAGAGAGGAAATTTAAGCCCAAACTCCAAGCTTCATGGCTTGTCAGTCTTGGTGGACAAGATGCCCAAGGTCCCTGTGGTGGCAAGCCCAGGTCCCCACACGGAGCAATGCTGAGCTGCTCCACCTTGGATATGCCTACCAGGATGTTCACTCCATGCCTAAGGCTTGGAGGCTTAAATCTCCTTTCCTTCTCTCTCCACGTGTCAGGGAGGCAAAGCAGGAGGGGGTGTGGGACTATCCCAGCAGTGAGTGCAGCAGATGGAGCAAACTCCATGGGAACTGCTGTTGCCCACATGGGAGAGGCCGGAGGGAGCGCGGGCGCCGTGGCCCATCGAAGGGAGCTGCTCCAGACCAATATATCACAGGGCCTTTCAGAGATTCGTGCCCATTACATTTTGCTGAGCTCAGGCAGAAGGATGCAGGGGATTTGGAGACTGTTTATTTTTGTCATGAGGAAACAGGAAATAGTACACAAGGCTATAAATATATCCCGGGCTTCAGATGACATCATGAACTCGTGCAAGTGCTTCACTACTGATTTACGATGATGGACTGGTAATTCACAGGAGCTTTGGGTTTACTTTATTTTGCTGTTGCAGTAACAAAGCTAATGGTGCAATCCCGGGAGGGGGTGTTTTATCAATAGTGAATTTTTGACCTCATTGCATACATTGTAACTTCATGAATTAGTGACCCAGCTAACTGTAAAGCCTTCTATAGGCTTATTGTAAATCTATCACAGGACTGGCAAAAACTTTTGGCCCAGATCCTAAGCTCTGACAGGCATGTGTTGATGGACTGCATAGCAAGCACTTCCACTAATATTTCTCACTAATTATGCCATATATTAAGAAAAAATGAATGAAGCCAATGTTTATATGCCGCTTTAACTGCTTTTCATATAAGAAAGCAACACAATCCCTAATAAATTTTCACCTTCAACATTTCTATTCATTATAATTTTTACCATGATGAATGAAGTTAGAACTGGAAAGGGAGGGGGTTCATCTTGAAATCTGTTCAGTGAATGACTGAATTTACTTCCCTTCCCCAACTTGTGTCGAGGAAGGAGGGAACAGATGGACACAGGAAGAAGAGGGAGGCGAGTGCGGAACGAAGGAGATGGGTGAGGAACAGATGGAGTCAGGAGAAAGTGAAGAGGAGAGTCAGCAAGGATGGTAGAAAAGTTTTCCACTTGACCTTGAGTTGAGATGAAGATCTGCATGCAGCATGGGGCAGCTAGCTTTTTGGGATGCATCCTTTTTTCTCTCCATGGAATTTAGCTATAAGGTCCTGTGGGCCATCCCAGCAGCTCAGTGTATCCCAGGGGGCCTGCAGAACCAGGAGCTGGATTTTCCCTAGGAGTCACCTGCTGCAGAAGGGCACCTGCACTGTGTTCAACTCCTCTAATGGCAGGGGAGAACCGTGTGCCAACACAGGAACAAAAATGGGTTGGGATTTTGTAATTCTCCCAGGCATCCTAGCCAAGCCAGAAATTGGAGTTCATAATTTTGAAGAAGTGTACTACACCCAGTTTGTTAGGATCCCATGGCCAAAATACTCAGAGTAATTTATGATTTTACCTGCTTAAAGCAAGACATTTGAGATGGCCTGATTTTCAGAATATGCTGAGCATCTGTGTTTTGATGTGTATTGAATTATATATCCCAAATCACTAGTAAGTCCTGGAAAATCTTGATTGTATTCTTAATTTGGTTAAATTGCCTGCATATACTCCACTGGTTCTGGCTTTGCTAGCTAAAGAATGGAAGAGGTGAAAGCTAAATATTGGCCATGTGTGTCATTCCCTTTGAAGAAAATGGGAGCCATGTGCACTCACCTAACAGCAATGTTTGGCCCCAACTATGATTTCACAGCTGGGCCCTAACTTCAGGAATGCCAAAGCACTAAATGACTCAATTGGAGTAATCTGATCAATGCTGTATTTTTGCTGTGGATTTAAATTGCACACACAGCAAGAGCAGAGTTGGTTTTCTTCTCTCTCAAAATCACTTTTCTCTGCAGACTTGATAGCATAAATATGAAGTATTGCTCTCATCACACAAATAAGTGAAATGGCAGAAAACGTATGTCAAATAAAATGCACAACATTACGTCCTTTTTACTTTTTGGAGGCTGTTTAAGAAAACGGCTTCATTAACTTTGACTGAATAAAAGGTTCCTTTAAGGGATTTCAATAGGTGACATGAAAAATGTTAATACGAATGATCAAGACAATGGAGGTTAAAACTGTTTTGAAAATATGTTTCTTTTATGGATCTTGGCTGTTGGAAGAGTTACAGAATAAATATACGGTAGTGCTGACATTCAGTGCTGTTTCATCTTAGCAAAGAGTTTTTAATAAAGAAAATTCTTTTCAAGGAATGCTTTCTGCAGCCAGTCTTCAAAAAGAGGTTCCCCCCCTCCCCCCAGTTTAATAAAATTAAAGTAATTTATGTCATATTGATATGTCGATATGTTTTTCAATAAACTTTTTCACAGGGATTTTTTTTAAATTCTCTTCACTTTAAAAATTATAATTATATGTCTTCCTCCCACTTTGAAAATGGCACAAGGTGCTCATTTGCAGAGCTCTACTGTTCAAATCTTCACTGAGAATAGAAATGTCATGACTCAGTTAACAATGCTTTATTATTCACATTGATCTTTTTTTATAGTGTTCTTTATCTCAAAAACATTGTAAATCAGATATCTTCCTCCCACTCTTTTGTTCATTTGCAAATTTTTATTATTCTAGTTTAAAAAAGCAATGGAGTGTCAAGAGTCAGTGTATATTGTTTATGTTCTTTTTTGCTTTAAAATTACTTTTAACTATAAAAAGTAAGATGTATAGCAAGGAAAAAAAAGCTGGATTTAAAGATGCTTAAAAAAGAATTGAAGGGATCAGTGTGAATTTTATGCTGTTCTCTTACACCTTGGAGTTGTAACGACTTTGCAAGAAGGGGGACTGAACAATTTATGAAAAGGTTTTTATGTGCTAAGTCCAAAGTCCCTGTTGCATCAGACATCATCATCTGTGTTAAAGGCTGGACATAATTCATGCCCTAAATGCCCACAATAGCAAAATTCCCAGCGTGTTCACTGGGAATGGTTTGCAGGGCCTGCCCAGAGCCCTTCCTGTCCACGGCTCCCTGTCACAGCCTGCTGCGCGGTCCTCAGGAGCCCTCAAGTGATGAGCACCAGGATAAATCACTGAATTGTCACAGGAACTCACAGCTTTGGTATCAGTGCTAACTGCAGCAGAAACACAACATCAGCTGGTCAAGAGGCAAGGCAATCCCTGAAACCCATGGGGCTGGATGTGGGATACAGCTGTGCACCTTTCAGGAGAGCCTTATCAGAGCCCTCAGGTCTTGTTTGTAGATTGGCTCTCCCAATTTCAGCCACTGTTTTCTGTCCCTGTCATTTTTTTCTTTAGGTCCATATTTCTGTCCTGGCAGTCCTGACTTTTTGAATGGCTTCCATGAGATAAATCTATTACAGGAATTGGGGTTGGTCCAGAGAGCAGCAGGATCTCGTGGTATTTCACATGCTTCTTGCTGTTAGGTAATTTTTTTTTATCATCTTCTCCCTGGTTTGAATTTTATGATCAGAGCATCCTGGCACCCTGTTGTTATTCCAGCAGGTCTTGAAAGATTGAAAGAGATCATCCTCTCGAGTGGCTGTATAGCCTGTATTCAGGCTATACCTGAAGTTGTACTTAAGCTCCAGACTAGGGGTTTTTTTTGTCTTACTGAATTATGGAGTGGTTTGGGTTGGAAGGGACTGAAAGACCATCTAGTCCCAAACAGCCACCATGGGCAGGAACATTTGCCACTAGACCAGGTTGCTGCAAGCCCTGTGGAACCTGGCCTTGAGAACTCCAGGGATGGGGAGGACCTTGTAGGTGTGTGGTGGCCCTATTGTATGAAACAGCCCTAAAAAGTGATGTAAATGAAACTAAAGTCTGCTTTCCAAATGATTTTTTTCTTTCTTTTTGTTTAAAACTGCACTGTGCTGACATTTGCTAAAGGGGATAATTTAAAAACTCAGAACAAGTAAGTCACAAACTGAACCTGAACTGAAAGCACACAGCCCTGTCCTTCCCCCTCCAAGAGGAGAGCTTAGCAATGTTTGTTTTTATTAATGTCAGTAGGTCACCCCTGTTACCATATGTCTGTGCCAGTCCCTGTCCTCTTCCCCAGCCTGGGATTTGGGATGCACAGCACCACACAGAGCCCCTGAGGCCACCCTCTGATGGGGCTGCCTGCACACCCCTCAGTGGCTGCTGGGGCAGATCCATCCCAGTGCTCATGAACATCTTCTTGTTGTTTTGCAGGGCTAACTCAAACCTCTCAAATTCTCTTTATTCCTTGCTTCACAGAGTGAAACTGGAAGGTTTGATGTATTGTCTCATTTGAATTGACCCTACTGTTTTCAAAGCAGAGAAAAAACAAACTTTACAATTGTTATTGTTGCCTTGATGCCACGGCTGCATTAATTCACTCTTCCTTCCTCTCATGGTTAATGACTCACCCCACAATGAGGTTAAGACTGTCTGCCAATATGACCAAATTTCAGAAACAAAATCC